AAAGTCTTCTGTTAAAAAAATATATTGGTAGTCATGGATGGATTTTGGGCTTTATGTTCATAGGTATTGCAAAGTATATATGTAGTACTAGGGATACCACTGGTACATCAAGACAAGTTTTGCACCTCATTTAATTTTAAATCGTGTATACATTGGCAGTTCCTTACTGATGTTGGTCCATCATGCCTGAGGACAGTGTTCAGAGTAATACTTGTGAAATCCGGAGTCAGACTAGAAGAAAATGGCTTTTTAAGAGATTTCTTGCTAAACATCAGCAAGACTCAACAAGAATACTGACTGGCAGCAATCAAGCAGCACAACTTGATTTAAACCCATAATATTGTTAGACAATCTTTCATTGGACGAACAAACTCTGAGATCAGGCCAAATGATGAACTAAGAGCTGTGGCTGGTGACCTTTATCTAGATGCTTTCTACAATATAATACCCTTGAGCTGTCTTTTATTGATCTCAAAAACATGCATCAACAATTTGAAAAGTCACTCATACAAGGTTTTTACAGTATGTCTCTCACACACACACACACACACACACACACACACACACACACACACACACCCTTCCTTTCCAACAGTAGTTCAAAAGTTTGTAGCTGGGAACTGTTCAGCAGTGGCAGACAAGAACTCTATTCATGGATCGTTCGCTTTCAGAAGTTTGGAGTTAAATTGATTTGTCTTGCAGCTGGCTACCAACTTAGCAGTCTAATGCCCTGTTCCTTGTTGGAGACTGAGGAGGACACATGTTGGAGCACAACTGTCATAATGATGGAATTAAAGTAATGAAGATGAGATGGCACTGGAGTCACAAGCAAAGATTCATCAATCACATGTTTAGGAAAGGGGAGGCCAGATTCTGACTTAGAGCACAATTTCATTGAAGGCCAGTTCTCAGTTGGTAACAGGTCTTTGTGTGAAGGGTACTCAGCAGTGTTCCCTGTAAGCTGAGCACTTGGGTGGCCATCCAGGAGAGAATCAAATTCCATTTATCTGATTAGCAGAGCGCCCACAGCCAGCAACATGTGTTTCTACTGGTGCTGCATATCTGCACATGTCTTGATGCATGGAACACAGTTTATTCTGCACATGGATGGAAAAAATTAAAGGGAATGCTGTACTCCAGCTGCTTCTGTTTTGTTGTTTTTGTTGCCATTGTAAAGAAAAATATTCCAAGGACGAGCAAAAGAAATGGCTCAAAACCAATTTATTCTCTTTCAAAAGCCTGCACTAAATTTGCTAAAAAAGGACCTTGAGCTGTGTGGTGGGAAGAGATCTTGAAACGTAAGCCCTTGTATCAGAAGCCAGGCCTGAGACCTACCCTAAAATTAGGGTGGAAGCTTTGCTAATATAAAGCACAGTCAAGCTGTGAACAAGAGGCAGGAAAATCCCACAATTCACGGAGCTACGACCACGGTCACAGGCATACTACAATGATCGGGGGATTTAGGACTACAGACAGTGATCCAGGGATTTAGGATTGTGCTTCCTCGACAATAAGCCTGGCAGGCATTTAGTACTAAGCATTTAGTACCTTAATGCATTTTGTGGTTATTTTGTGATTTGATCAAGGTCTTGCAGGGCTGACCCACAACATTTTGGCACCTGAGGTGGGGTGCTCAAATGACGCCCCCCCATATGGACATATGCACCAGCAGCAGACACAATTTTCTACACTCTGGGTCCTAGTGGCACCCTCCCCCGCCCCACACACACTTTGGCACCTGAGGCAGCTGCCTCAGTTCACCTCATGGTAAGGCCAGCCCTGAAGTCTGATGTGCCTGCTGTCCGTGCAGAGCTGGGGCAGCGCTCACAACCAAGCATCTTACAACAAGCTGCATATGGAAATCAACTGTATGTACAAGAAATTATTGCCCACAGGAAATGTACAGCTCAGAGTCAACCTGCTGCCATTAAATAAAGTGACATGAGTCCTCAGAATATATTGAGTTATTTATTAGGCCTTACGTGTATGCAACTAGAATGTTGTCAATCTGTCTCTGAATCTGCATAGAAGACCTCTGATTTTTGTCTGAGACTGAAGCTCAAGCTTTGAAGTCCAGTTTAAACCAGGATTTACATTATAAAACAGAGGAAAAACACACAAACTCTACTTACTGAAGAACAGCCATGTGTATTAAGAATGTTAACAATTAATCTAGCACCCGGAGAAAGGAGGCGAACAACATTACTGGAAGAGAAACTGATAATGCTAGAAAATTCATCTGATTATAACCCCTCCTGTTGGCTAGCCCAGTGTGAGGTTATTCAGCATAGGGGAAGCCTTGTGACTTCTTACACCACTGTGGGGGGGCTAGATCTGAGGCTGCTTGGTGTGCTCTGCACTGTGTATTGTACGTGTGTGTGCACCTCAGACCAGACCCACTCCGACAAATCACCAGGAACAGGCTTTATTCTATAAAAAAACATAGAAGAAGAAAACAGTTCATCAGCCCCTACTCTGAGCATGCAGCCTCTGTGTGCTGCTTCTAGCACAGTCCTTGCTGAGACCCTGCAGGAGGCACATCCTGGCAGGAACCAGGAAGTTCTCCCAACATGCCGCAGTTTGTAGTTCCTAGGGCTGCTGCTGAAACACACTGGACCTTGGGCTATACCATGAAGTGAGTCTTATCCACGAAAGCTCATGATTTTATATATATATATTTGTTAGTCCCTAAGATGCCACAGGACTGCTGGTTGTTTTAAAGTTACGAACTAACCCAGTTATCCCTCTGAGACTTGTTTACGTCTGTTCTGGAGTTTGTCTCTTATAAGGATACTGTACTTGTCTTTACTGGAAGAGTGTATAGTTTAATGAAATGATGTAAAATTAATCTAGTTCAGTGATATCTAAACCTCTGGTGTGTGTAGATACACATACATACACACGATTCTCCCAGCAAAATGACTGAACAAGTATTATACAATTGGTTAATAACGTAATAAAAATATCCTGATTGGTGAATGTCTTAGAGTTAGACTATTTAGTATTTGAATAAGTGTTTAATACCATTTGCCTTATATAGCTGTAGGAGACACACTGAAGAGCTACTTGCAGCCCCTAAGCCTCAGTCTTAGTATCAGATCTAGTTAAACCAGTGCAAACCCTAGTATAGGTGTATGTAAACGGCCTGGAATCTTGCTAAAATGGTATTACTTTTCATTGGTAATATACAAATGTTTAAATATATTGTTTATAAATGAAAGCTATAACAGCTTATGTGCTCCTATGTTAGGGATTTGCACTAATTTAGCTGATATAGCTTTCATTTATAAACAATATATGTGCTCCTATGTTAGGGATTTGCACTAATTTAAGTAGATTTTAAACTGGTAAGAAACTTGTCTAGTGTAGACCAACACGAAGTGTCTTCATCTGTAGTAAAAAGTATGGACCTTACCAAAATATGTATTGAGCTGATTGTGAAATGTGAATTGGTGAGGGGAGCAGTAAGTAGGGATGGTATGCAAACTCCCAGAAACTCAAAACAATGTTGTAAGGAAGTGCTTCGCCGATAACAGTGCATCTGGTTTGTAGTTTTACAAATGCAATGGGACAGGCCTGTGGGATTTCTGCTTCTCTGACATGGTGTAAATGGGGGCAGGATTTATACACTCTGTACGCTCCAGCTGCAACTGTTGTAACTTTCAGGAAGCTGTGCAACAAACTTAGTCTGCATGATTTTAAGTTACACAGGATTTGCCTTGCTAATTAGAACTTTCACCCAAAACTCTGCAGTTTGTGATACTGTGGCAGCACTGTAGATGCATATGGACCTTATGAAATTGAATAAATATGTACTCCCTGCCATGATGAGATCAGACCTTTAGAAACCTCTTAAGACCTTACTTATGGGAGTATTCTTTGAAAATTGATTTCAAGTGTGTTATTAGCAGTAGTAATACTAATGTTTTTAGTCACACAGATGCTGGTAGCATACATAACATTGAGGAGTTTTTCTTGTCCACACTAAAGCTATGTCTAGACTGCAGGCTTCTGTCAGAAGAAGCTTTTCCAGAAGAGATCTTCCGAAAAAACTTTTTCCGAAAGAGAGTGTCCACAGTGAATGGACGCTATCGTGCATTTAAGCTGTGATTCCTATGGACGGAGTAGCCACAAGGGCACCTATGCTTTTTCCTCTTTCCTCTTCTTCCAAAAGAACTCCCTCTTCCCCGTCCACACACGCCTTTTTCCGAAAGAGCTCTTTTGGAAAAAAGCTTCTTCCTCATAGAAAGAGGTTTACTAATGTCAAAAAAACCCTATGTTCTTCCGATTTTCTTTCGAAAGAATGCAATTGCAGTGTGGAATTAAGTGAAGTTTTTTCAGAAAAATGGCTGTTTTTCTGAAAAAAGTCTGTGGTGTAGACATAGCCTAAGTCTAAACTGTGCAGTGTAGACCAGGAAAAAAACTCTCTTCAATCTTATGTAAGCTACCGGGCTCTGTTTTACTAAAAACATTAGTATTACCGCTGTGCTTATCAGTAGTAAGATTTGCTCACCTCAGGTTGGAGTAACTCTGAGAACAAAATTCCTGTCTGTCCATTGACAGGTTCTTAAAAATGTATGGGTACACAGCACAGCAAATAGTAGCATCCCTATTACAGACAATGAACCGCAGCTACAGACATCACGTCATATACACTCCTTAAACATTAGCCTATTTTCAAGAAGCTTACATGTATCTTAATAACTGTGTCTGTTCTGAAGCTCTATATGGTTTTGAATATGAGCTGTGGTTTTTAACTTCAGTGTAGCCAGCATTTTCAGAGAGTATCTAGGCTTTATATTTTCAATAACCAATCATGATCTTTACTGAGAGGTTTTAAAAGACAAACTAATTTTACCATCCCACATGTGAAAACCTCAGCTTCCTGTTGACGGTGCTGTTCTCTGAAGACATCCTGAATTGATGTCTGGGTAACTGGGCTGATCAGACATGTGTTTGAGTAAAGGCAGTCTGTGTTGGTTTCCTTTACAAAGACTTTGCAGCAGTCACTGAGACAGCTATGGCAATGTTAATGTTACTCCAAGATATGAAGATGGAGAAAAGGTGGCCTTCCTGTGTGTTTTGTTTGTTCATCCTAACGCATCATGTTGATGGTAAGTGTCCCAGTAAGAAAAGCTTGCATATGCTATTAGGCTTAAACTTTGTTTTATGGGCTGCGCCTCTTTAATTTGGGAAAAACCCTGTTTTAAATTTCACTTTAAAACAAAAATGAAACTGCTAACAATAGTTTTGTGTTCAAAAGCAACTTTTTACTTGCTACAGTCAGATACAGATTACTACTATTAAAGGTTGTATTGACTAGCAAATGAGCATCGTCGATGTTGTGAGCCATTTTCACAGTTTGTTTCATTGCAATGACCTCACTCGTTGTAGGAAAATATATGTTTTAGAAATGAGCACCCCTCCCCAGCTAGTATTTTAACTTTCTCTTCCACTCTTCTGCAAAGTGTGACCGTTCATCACAATACCATGATATGGATTGTTTGGGCTTCCTGGAAAGATTTTTTCCCCCCCCATCTGGGCACTGTATTAAGAGCTTGCAAGACAAGGTTGTCATTAGGAAACTGTCTCTACAGCAGCTGGGAGATACGATTCCCAGTACAGACAGATGTATACTAGTTCTGTTCAAGCTAGCATATGAGAGAGAGCCATGTCACCATGACAGCAAAGCCATCAGCTCAGATTAGCTGACTGAGGGCAGTCCCACATAGAGCCTCCCAGCTACATACTTAGCCTGAGCTGCCACCCATGCTGGTGTGGCCACATTGCTGCTCTTAGGCTGCTAAATCAAGCAAAACTAATGCACATATGTCTATCCAAGCCAGGAATTACACCTCCCAGCTCCTATGTAGATGAACCTTTAGAGTAAAGCATTTTGATATCAGAATAAGACTTGAGAGAAGGGAGAGATTCTGTGTTTGTATCAGGGGAGCTTAATCAAAACCAGCCTTCTCAAAAATTAGACTGGAGCCAGACACTCATCATGCTTCATGTGTGCATTCTCAAGTTTGGGGTACTTATAACTCTGGGCTGAGTGTGCGTATGAATGTTGTGTCTTGAATCCAGATTCCAATTCAAAAACTGAAGATGTTGCAGGTACCTAATTGGCATTGCAAGATGTATCTGAGCATATTTGTCCGTGTCTGTATATACATGAAGCAGGTTGGAGACATTTCCTACTTCTGTTGGGGAAACTGATTGTTGATAAAGAAAAAAAAATTAGTTGATTTTAGATATAGAAAAGCACAGAGTCAAGTAAGATGGCTAACGAAAAGCCATATTAAATATACTGTAGCAAAACAGGTGTCCTTATTAAATCTCAACAAAACATAAACTAGGACAAAATCCTGCTGTTTATCTGGGTAAAACGTCCATGTAAGTTATCTGAAGTCACAGGTGTTCTGCCCTTAAAAAAAATCACAGTGCTAAGGAAAACACAACTAGAAGAGAACTTCTAGGTCATCAAGTCCTGTCCCTTACTATTGTGGACAGCCCTGTCCTATAATCCCATATATCAAGATCTGTCTTAGAACTCATTAGGTTGTTTGCCCTCAAACAAAACTCAAAACTCCTACTGGAAGGCTGTCTCAGACCCTCACTCTTCTGATGGTTAGAAACTTTACTGTTAGGCTGGAAACTTTACTTTTAAGTTAGGCTGGAAACTAAAAGAATCTTGCCCAGTACACACCAGTTTATTCTGGTGCCAACATTGTCCTTCAACTTTAAACATAAGTGTTTGAGTTGACTGTGCTTCAAGATACTCTGAACGGATGAAACGTTTTTCAGGAAAAGGGGCTAACTGTGAACTTAAGGGCATCTGAAAAGTGCTTTTTTAAATGTTGGGGAACAATTGGGAGTTATTAAAACCATTAGCAAGATTCCAGTGCCCACATATAAGAAAGCTGCAGCACACTTTTAGATAAAATGAACAGTGTGACGCTGTGTTAAGCAATTACTTTAAAAAAATTGAAGTTCTAAAATGTTTATCCCTAATTCCTGCTTGATGTGGCTCTTTGATCTTAATATATGCTATTAAAAATAACTATCGTGATTTCTCTGGAAACTATTTAAGTGATATTATCTCTTGACTATAACAGATGCCTTTAATAAGTAGAGGTCTGAGATCATCCTCCATCTGGACAGACCCTGAGATTTTCATTTAGACAAATCTTCCCCTTCAATCTAATCTTCTTCACGTGAGCCCCCCCACTCCCATTTATTTTCCTGTAAAAAATATGCGCACGAAGGGGGGGAGATACTAAAATGCTGGAGATGTGTACACTTAACCTAACTCTTCAGTCACATGGCTTTTCATGCTTCTGTTCACTTGGTTTCATATTTGATTGCTGTAGAGCCAGTTCTTGTGCAATGTGCTCCTTGGCAGTTCAGGGGCTGCCTACACTGAACTCCTTGCAGGACTGGGGCATTTGACTGTAAGCCCTTCAGGGCCTGCATTGTGGCTTGATAGCTGTCAGTATAATTCTTAGAGAACTACTAACATTGTGTAAATGACAAATGAGTTCACTGCTAAATTACGTGTTGCATCTGCAAAGGTATTTTTGGGGACTATGGTACATAGAATCATGGGACCAGAGGGGACCTCGAGAGGTCTTCTGTTCTAGTCTCCTGCTTTCATGGTGGGACTAAGTATTATCTAGACAATCCCAGATATAATTAAATATAACATAAAATCAAATTGCAATATCCCTTATAAATTCAAAATGAATAAAATGACTTGAGAGTGTTGGATGCAGGATAGGGGGAGGCACAAAAATCTTGGGAGGGAGATGTAAAAATCTTGGGCGGGGAGATGTAAAAATATGGCTCTGAATGTAGCTATATCGTTTGAGAATAGGGAGGGGAGGAGCTTGGTGAGAATTTTCAAGATGGTCAGGGAGATGTAAAAATATGACTCTGAATGTAGCTACATCATTTGAGAATAGTCTTTTAAGATGGGGAGAGGCTAAAATAGATGACACGAGGAGAGTGAGCCGTAAAGTTTCTAGCATCTGCCAAATATTTTAGACAAAAAGATCATCACTTAACCAAACAGTGGAGCCATATATGGGAGTTCAGCTGTAGAGGATTGCTCTATATAACCTCATCATTTGATTTTTACCTAGGAGCTTCCTGCATATGGCCCTGGGAACTTGACAGAGACAGTGGAGATAGATCTTACAATTATTTTCCCCCCAGGAGGAGAAAGACAGAGAGTCAATTTCACTGGGGTAGTAGCTATTTCTGAAAAGAAACAAAAATTAAAAAACCCTCACGCTGAAAACTTCTTTTCTTTTCACAAATGTATTAACTCTATGTGGTGCATAAGACCTCAAAGCATCTCAAAAACTGACAAACCAAACAAGAGGAGGCTGCTTGCTCCAACACTGAAGTACTACCTCCCCGGAGGAATGCAGAAGCTGCCAAGCAAGGTGCATGTAAAATAATAGCTTTTCCTATTGAAAAAAGGCAGAATGCAGTTTCTCAGAAGAGAATTGGCATGCAGAGTTAACTGGCTGGGTCTTGCAAAGAAAGCTGCAACATAAGCAGTCATGGCTTCTACTTTACATATCGCTTGAAAGATCTCTTCCACCAAAGTGCCCCTTTCTCTTTAGGTGATATAATGAGCACTCCCCATCCTGTTCCAGCTATTTGAACTACTGTTTATTCTTTTTCTCCAGTTCCTTTTCTGGAATCTGTACTAAAGATTTACTGCTGCCACCACTTGCTAAGCCATCTCACTATATTCAATATTACAGCACTATATTTTAGGCTCCAGCTAATGGTATAGGTCGGTCTCTCTCTCTCTCTCTCACAAACAGTATTGAGAAGATTTAAAAGAGAGTTGTTTATAAACATTGCCTGACATGACCATTTTTCTGATTCTTTTTAAGGTCAGCTTGAAGGCACCATTATCAAGACAGAAGCAGTCCATGCTCTCCCTGGCAGTGATGTGACTCTTATGTGCAGCATCCTGAATGGAAATAGCATCTCTGTGACACAAACACAATGGTCAAAGGTCGATGATACGCCGCCCAGTAGAATAGCTGTATCTCACCCTGTATATGGCATTACGTACTTACCTTTTTCTAAGACTTCTTATAACTATTCAGTGGTTTTCAGAAAGACCCACCATTGCTGGGCAGACTTCAACCAGACTTCGATTTCCCATGATGCCAGAGCAAATCCTGTGGAATGCTATCAATGGATTCTACATTTGAGTAATGTTAGTCTCTCACTCACTGGGCGGTATGAGTGTAGCTTTGCTACCTACCCTTATGGGACACAGGTTGCAGAAATTAATCTTATTATCAAGGCAGAAGGTAAATGACATTAAGATACCTATTGCTTTTCGGTAACAATTAAGGGGGGAATAGAACAAGTAAATGATGTGAATATTTTCAATGGCTATGTTCAATATGCTCTGTGATTCCAAATGAGCACTTGTATTGCTTCTGCCTAGACAAGCTGCTGTTTCTGGGTTAGCTATTGTCTGACGCCCTGGTATGGCCATATCATATGTAAACAGTGCCTTGTGAGGAGCAGAGCCCAGTTTTACTTCTGTATGAAAATATTGGTGCAGGTTGATGAAAGGAATCAGGTGAGTGGGCAGAAGATGGGTGGTCTGCATTCGTAAACGAGAATAAGGATATACTGGACAGAGAACAGTAACTGAGAGATGCGCTTGGCAATGCAGACTACTGGGGATGGAGGACACGTGCCTTCCAAACATATTGTACTCTGTATGTCAATCATTAGTAATGAGACTGATAAACAGAAGGGCTGAACATCCTCAGTTCCCTTAGACTGACATGTGTTGTCTTAGAGCGTGGGTGTCTTCGAAAACCAGGTTGCAATGTCTGCGGGTAGCTAGTTGCCTCGGTTTAAGGGTAGGTGGGGGAAATGGAGACTCAAATGTGTTCTGAGCCAGCTCTCAAACTTGCGCTACACTGCTTCCAGACATCTAATAAAATAGAAGCAAAGGTAGGATTAGCTGAGAGCACATGATCACCAATTCAGTTCACATTGAGCAGTGCTTTGTTCCAGGTCAGTAAGTGTGGTATGCAGAGGTTCTAGTTTTGATCTGGATGAATTCCATAGCATGCTTGAGTTGAACTAACTCAAAAACTAAAGTCTGCTGAACGTGCCAAGTTTCATCTCTGAGCCATTTGAGGTCAATGCATTCCACCTGATTTCCACCCAGAATCCTTAACAAGATCTTATGAAACTTGGTTCAGTTTGCTGAAGGGTTAGGGAACCTGGATCAAATTCTTGATTTGAATGATATCAGAAATCAAATTAATTTTTCTTGGTTTCCGATTACATGAAAAATGTCAGGAAATGTTTTGTTTTCATTTTAGGAGAGAATTCAGTTTTTCATATTTTAAATCAGCTAGATTTCATTACTGCAAAGCTCTATTGAAATATTTGATTTCAAGTATTTAAGACACTACAGGCGTAAGAGACGTAAAATGACTATAAGGACTCTGATTTGTCATTGCTTGGGCACTGTGTGTCTTGCTATTGTTGTCGTTGCAAACCTTGAGGTAGTTTGAAGGGTATAGGGAAAGCAGAAGTAACATGTTTGACCTTTCATGGGATAGGAAACAGGCACAAAACAGAATGGCAGCACCTGGATTAAGGATCCTCTACCAGCCCCAAGGACAAAATATAGTTGACTCAGTGTCTTGATTTTATTTTTTCTATAAAAAAGGCACATCCGCAGGGAGGTGTAAGCTGAAACTCTGAATCTCCAGTTTGGAGTTCTTACTGTGATGACAGAAGTAGAATGTGGCTTTGAGCATCTCACTTTGGTTTTTTAATTTTCATGGACTAACACCTGGGCTGACCACCACTACAAACCCGTCCCCATTGACTTGCTAAAACAAACGAGGACACGCAGTTGCTCTGCATCAAAAGTATGACATCTGTGGTTGAAATGGCAAATGTTGGTTCGTTAAGAAGGTTCCGTCTTAAGTCATGGGTGCAGAAGGTCTCTTGGAGTTCCCACATAGTGTCCTTCTCAGGGATTTTCTTGCCCTTTGACTAGCAGCAAAAGACAGATAAAATGAACTAGTGAAGTGAGACACTATGAAGAATGTGAATAATCAATGAGTGAAACTTGCCTACGTTCCAAGAGCAGTTATAAACCTAGCAGGCACTGTGAAGAGGACTGCAACAGCATTGTGTGCAGTAGCCAAACTGTATGCCTGACACCCCTGAGAGAGAGAAAGTTCTGCTTCTATGCCATGTCTATTGTACAGTCTTACAGTGTGGACAGCGCTGGTTGGGAGCAATGAAGGGAATACACTAAATGACTTCAGGTTTATTCATTGTGCTGGGTTTTCTCTCTCCTTAAAGAAATGAAGCCTTTCTTCCTGTTTCTTGTTGATTCAGACCTTCCCAGCATTACCATTCCTCTCTAACTGGGTTAAAATGAAGACAACTGCTGTTCGTGTTCAGTTTCAAACTGCCTTTTTTGCAGAAATGGCACAAACCAGCAAGCTGTGCTCTACCCCGAACCACATCAAACCAAACATTTTTACTGCATTCATCAACACACCCACTGCAAGTGTATGACAAACATGGAGAATAGTGAACACGCAGGAGAGAGTTTGTTACTGGGGAAATGAATCAAAGTATTGCTGAAAAATAGAGCTGCTGACACAGGATTGTGAGAATGCAGAGAAGCAGTCTGCAAAAATATCTCCTGTGTCAAGAATTCATGTTTTAAACTCCTCTTCCTGTTTGTCTCCTCAATTTACTTAAACCTTACTGCCTGCAGCCTGCTGCATGACATGTAATTTACCTTCTGGCTCACCCAGGCAGTTTTGCTGTATTACCATGAACTTGAGAAGTTAAGGAGTCCCTGCGTTTCCCCCTTCAGGACTATTGTGCGAAGCAGACCCTTTTACAATATACGTTAAGGATTCCCCGCGTTTCCCCCTTCTGGACTATTGTGCGAAGCAGACCCTTTTACAATATAGTGATAGTGACATTTACCATTGGAAGTGTTCCTTCCCTATCAAAATACATACAGCAGCTTCCTATGTTGAGTGTCCTGCAAAACATTCTGAAGGTTACAATTCAATGCCTTCATGACAAGGGCTGCTTGCAGCTGTCATGCAGTGTTGTATCTGGAAGCGAAATTGTAACCCGTGGAACTGTCTGCCACAGGAAGCCTAGCTAATCGGAGGACCTGTGGCTGAGGAAAGAACACATCTAGCATGCAAACAGGTGAGGTAGGCGTAAGCTTGGACGAATCTACTAGTGAAACTAGTTCCAGTGCTGGAGAGCTTTCTAATCAGTAACAAAATACAGGACTATGCAGCACTTTAAAGACTAACAAGATGGTTTATTAGGTGATGAGCTTTTGTGGTCCAGACCCACTTCCTCAGATCAATTTGTGGAAGAAAATTGGCACTGTGCATGAGTGGCTTCCCACAGAAAAGGCAGAAAGTCGCATGTTGTACTAGCTAACCTTTTCAGGTGGCCTTCAAAGGCCATGCTAAGTAGACTGTATATCATTCATCAGCCTGGAAGTGACAAGGGCCTGGATCAATGGGCAAAATCATTACTAGAATAAAGACCTGCAAGCACTGTGATGAGCCATAAGGATTCAGCAGGTCATTGCTGTCACCTGAGAGAAGTAATAGAACAAATAAGATTCCAGGATAAGACAATGTAGGAAGCAGGCTGATCCCAAGCAGCTGTACAATGTCCTATCCACCAGCATCACCTTAGTATGCCCTGGATTGATTCTAAACTTCATACAGTGGACAGAACCTAGGAAGAGAAATAGAGTTGAGAGTAGTCAGTTCACTGATACTGCAGACTGAAATATGTCAGCCCTCTACAATTGCCCCAGTACATGGGGACTGGGAGAGACGAGAGACTGGCACCTTGGACTCACCTTGCACTTCAGAACCTCAGCAGGCACAAGCAGTGAATCCTCAGAACCACCTGAATCTGTCTAGTGAGGAGCAACCTTCAGCAATCCCATCCATCCCGCCAGGTCCTGCAGACAATCCAGCAGTATCACTCAGGAATCCTATCTGAGGATAAAACCAGCCTGGGTGTCTGACCTCTGTACATCAGAGCAGAGCTTCAACTTAAGGAAAAAAAACGTATCTTGCATTTGGTCATATTTCTTGATCCACATTTGTACAGTATTTAGTTATATAATTGCTCTGCCCTTTAATGCCTGTAATTGAATCATAAAGCGGGGACACAATGGTAGAAAATATTGAAGGAAAAGATAAGTGCAGATGCTTAGTGATTACTAGTTCAAAATGTAATGCTGGTATGGAGAAGGAAACGTGCACTCAAATTGTTGTATCCATGTCTGAAATTGTTGTTGAGTGATTACCACACAGAACATTCCTGGGCAACGCCTTGGTAGGAAAGACAAAACAGCATAGTTATATTAAAAAGGGGCAATCAAGGGCAGAAAAAGGCTGAGTGTTAGGAATTCTGTGCTCTTTTTCCAGATGTGACATTCCTATGTGACTTTGGCCACCTCACTTAGCGCCTCTTACCTCATATGAGATGATGCAAGGGTTCATAAATGTTTGTAAAGCTCCTTGAGGTCCTCAAATGAAAAGTACCAAAAATGGACAAATTAGTGTTAAAATTTATTCCAGTTAGAAAAATGTGGAAGTTTTTAGACTCTTGAGAGTCTCAGAAGGGAGGAACAAGCTTCATTTTTCCTCCTTTCCCAGTTTCCCTTATCAGAATAACTCCTGATTATACAAATAATAGAAGTTATTTTGCAAGCCTCCATGCACAATATCCAAGTACTTTCAGGCGGAATTGTTTGCAGAATCGAGGCCATGGTTTTCAATTAGCAAATGAGTCTCCAAAAGATTATTGTGCTTTAGAAGTGTTTAAACTGACTTTTTTTTAACCACAAATGCATATTCTGTGTATCAATAGTATAAGGAACAGAAGAGCAATGCATTGGTTTTAAAGCACCCCAAATATTGTGATGATAATTTTCTTTATCCTTCTTGCTTTTTGCTACAAGATGAAAAGCATTATGTGGTGGCAGAAGTACTATTAAACCAAACATTGGAAATTCCGTGTTTTGAGAATATAACTTCCGTAAATTGGTCCAAGTATCCTTTGAAATGGCTAATAGTAAGTATAACTATCCTCCATCATTGATTAGAAAGTAAGAAATAAACCATAGTGAATACAAGTGATGTACTTTGCTGAGGGGGATGCAAACAGTTAAAGTAAAGGTTTGTTAAGAAGTATATATGCTATCTGTACCTGAGTAAACATCAGACTGTGACAAGAGGGAAGAGAAGCTAGAAATGCAGTGTTGCTACAGAAGACAATGCTGCATACTTATCCCCGGAAACAGTGTATTAGAAAACAGCAACAACCCTTCCCCCCCATCCCTCCACCACACACACATATTGCTATAATACAGGTTGCACCTCCCTTAACCAGGATTCTCTCCTCCAGCAATAGCCATGGTCCAACAGGACCATGGATGTTGCTGAATGAGAGCTCCCCAGGGCAGGAGGGCCAGGTGCTGAGACCCCCGTACATGGCAAGGCTGGTGGTAGTGAGGCGAGGGCCTTAGCAGCCCGATGGCGGTAGTGGGGCAGGCCAGCAGCCCCATCTGGTCCACATGCCAGCTGGCAGTGGGGCTGGAGCGGCAGCTATGGCAGCCTGGCCAAAGGAGATGGCAACAGGGAGGGGTGACAAGCTAAGAGGGCTGATGGCAGGGGACCTTCCCTGATCCGGTGAATTTTCTCATCCATACTGCTCAGGTCCTGAGGGTGCCAGACCAGTGAGGTCCAACCTGTAGTTCAGTTTTTCACAAAATAATTTAAACCAAAACATGTGTTGGTAAAGGCAGTAAAATCGGTAAAACTGAATGACTCAATTAAAACAGGCTCTGCATCATTTTTAATTAATTTAGTTCTTGCCCATTATAATGAACTTTTGTTTCATAAGTAACATGCCTCATGATTTCAGAAATGGAAAGTGAGGCTACATTGGGATATTTTTTTTCTTGCCGCTAGCTTTGATTTTAAGAATAGGGGGAGGGGCGAAAGAGGTCACACGACTGTGAAACCACATACAAAACACATTCAGAAGCTCTTGGCTTGGAATTGAGCAGGTTATTTTTTGTATTGCATGTTACTTTTAGAAGGAATCTTTATTTCCCCTCCCCCCACCACCTTTGCCTTATAGGATTGTTCTTAGTAGTTCAGAGATGATCAGCAAACTGTCCTTGACATTGCTCATTATTTTCTGTACCTTTTTTGTACTTTTTTTTTGTTTGAGGTTTATATATTTTGACACCTATTACTTTTGAAAAGCTTGAATTGATGGAATCTTTTTAATCCGACCATCAAAAATAAACATAAATCCTATTTCTCCCAGTGGTTCCATCCCCTTTGGTTGTCATTGGATCTCCACAGTTTTATACTAGATTATCCTAAATGTAGCAATTTTCTAGGGCAAACCTACACATTGTGCTAATGTGTATATATAGTTAGTGGCATTAATTCAAACTATAATCTGGAAAAAATAAATAAAAAATATAGCACTTCAGCCTGTGAAAATATATGGTACATGTTGAGATAATGAGTGTACAATCACACAGAGAAAGTGAATAAATCCTAACGCTAGGCATTGCTACTAGCTCTGGCACATGAGTCAATGGAAGAGGATAAAGAAGTTCAGCTTTCCAATTAATTTAGTGCAATTAGAAATTTAAAAAAAAATCAAAGAATGAAGAAAACTCTTATAATTTTTCTCCATTCTTAAATGTGCTAATGTTGCCCCACACTGTGTGGAAGGGTAGCTGTCGATGGGAAGGACACTGTGTAGTCAAAACCACAGGTCTACCCTTCAGGAGACTTGACCATAAGCTAGTCAACTAGCTACTCTGGGTCTGTTTCCTCCTTGTATAAAATAGAGACCATGGCCATTTTTGTGATATGCTGTGAGATCCAAGAGTTGAAAAGTGAGTGAGAAGCTTAAATATGAGTAGTTTAAATGTTGCAACCATAGGTTGATCCTGAAGGCTTTGACTCAAAGAAGGTGAGAAGGAAATGATTGTGGTGGAGGGAAGCAAGAGTTTGTGACTAGAAAAAACATCTGCCTGTGTTTTTAAACAGGCGGAAAATGGACATGAAGAAACAACTCTTACAATCAAAGAGTTCTACCACCAGGATGTGAGTAAGACTATTAACCTATTGTACAAGGAAAGAATTCAGCTAGGTGCAAACAATGAACTAAAGATTTCCCCAGTAAAAATTAATGATGACAACAAGGTGTTCTCTTGCTATGTGAAGTACCATCCTGAAAGAATACTGGCAAGCACCACCAAAGTGAAAGTATTTGGTAAGTGGTTTATGATGATTCTACCTTTTTTGTATTTTAACGACTTTTGATTCATGCTACACAAACAGCCGTTATGTTCTTGTGGGTTTATTTTCTGAAGTAATTCACATTTAGTAACAAATACTTGAGGCCACCTGCAACGCTGAGGAAAGCATCTCTGGAAAGCACCATGGACACATAATATGCAAATGGACACATAATATGCAAACAATTGTGCAAGTAGCTCATCTCTATCTGCTAGTTTGCATGGTAACAGTTGGGGATTCATGCACTTTCACAGTAATTCTAATTATGCCCTTGTTAACTGAGAACACATCGAATTGTGGCCCTTATTGGCTTGTGACCAATTCAATTATAAATCACGGCCAAGATTTTAGTAAGTGACTATGCTTTTGGGTGCTGCTTTTATTTTATGCCTAACATTAAAAGGGCCTGATTCTTGGGCTGGTCCACTGTGAAAAATCAGTTGTCACAGACTGGGCACCTACAAATCCCATATTATTATTATTATTATTATTATTATTATCATCATCATCAAATCTTGGTCTTGTCTGTTTTAAATAGTGTAGGAAATCTCATTTAAAATGCCAGTGGACTGCATTGTTTGCTATGTCAGTGACATGGGGAATTGTGAAAGTGATCAATCAGCTTTATTGTACACTGAATCTTTGAAGGTACAACTTCAGGGCTGCTAAAAAGAATAAGCACTGAGCGGAGGGTCTGTCAACAAATCCATTATATAACCTCCTGCTTTCAAGAGTTTTCAACACAGCTCTCACTGGGATGATGCTAACTGCGAAGATTCAGCAAGGAACAATATTTTTTTAAAACAATATTATTTTAGACTCACACATGCTGAAGTGAGAGATCCAAAAATAGAAGCTGGTCTGAGACTTCCTCTTGTGCTCATGTGAGTCAAAAATGGTTTCTTGGTTTAAAAAGTGACCTTTGACAAATTAGTGGTGCAACCTGGATAGTCACTTGAGCACTGACAGATATTTGAACCCACTACAATTAGAATAGCCTTTTGTTCTGCATCCAGTATGTGAGACATTAATATCTTTCAATTGCTACGACTGTAAACTTGTGTCGGGGTGGCTGTGCACAGAGACACGTACGCCAGCATGTTAGCAGGAAATGGGAAGGGGGCAGAGGTAGAGCAGACATCAGCACAAACTAGACAATCCAAAGCTTTTTGCTGTGCTTTTTCAGGGCCCTGAGGTAGCCTCCGTCCAACCTGAGCAGCTGGAATGGAGGGGAAGGGTTCTGTGCCATATATAGGTTGTCTTGGGTACCCTTCCCTTCCTTGTCTTCAGTCAGCAGAAAGGTTGGAGGAGGATTCAGAATTTGACTTGAGGTCTCTCAAATCTTAGTCACACGTGTAGAGGAGCTGACAGCCTCGCCAGGCCCTGGGGCAAGGTGTATATGTGTGTGTGGGGGGGGGGGGGGGAAAGGCAGGGGTGACTACACTCCAAGAAGGGTAGGGCTTTGGTTGGAAGGGACAGGGCCAGGGGCAGCCAGCCGTCAGTGTCACCCTGACTGCCGTGTACTCCCCTCCCCACGTGGCACTCAGGTGGTGATTTAAAGGGCCTGGGGCACTGCTGCTACAGAAGCCGAGAGCCCCAGGCCCTTTTAAATCACCAGGCTCCTGAGTGATTGTGCCCTTTGCTCTGCTCCAAGCCTGCACAGAAGGCAAACCACAGGTCAAGGGGATTGCAACTTGCTTCTCTTTCTCTTTGCTGGTATTTAATACTTTATCAGGCTAATTGACTAGTGTTCACTCTCCTTTCTCCTCCACTGTGGTGATGTCAATGTTAATTCTTATTTCTTTGAGTGCAGCTTTGGTGTATGTAATGTATAGATAGCGTAGGCCAGGGCTACTCAACTTTGGAAGCCCCGGGAGCCACAATGATACTCACAGCACATGCTGAGGGCCACAGCAACATGTGGTTGCATGTACATGCAAATATATATGCAAATAGCTTCTTTCACACAATGCCCCAGCACTCCAGGCATCTCTTCCCTGGGAGCTAGAAACACCAACATCCTATACCCGTCGGTTCCAGCCAGCCCGTCCACTTGTATCTTTCAATGCTCACACCCACCTGGGAGATGCCTTGCCGTTGTGGAGTGTGTTCCCAGTGGAGGCCATGTTCAAAGGACCTACCTGTGGGCCGTGTGTTGAGCCCCATGTACACCCAAACAGCACCGTGGGCTGCAAACAAATAAGGCATGGGCCGCATGTTGAGTAGCCCTGGTGTAGGATATGCTCTGCCCAGCTGTTTCCCTTTTAGAGTTCTGGAGCAGAGACTGAAGACCAGTATTGTTGGGAATACCCTGGTGTAAGAGCATCCCTAATAGGCATACAGCTGGCATAGCCAGCTTCTATGCTTCATTCATCCCTTGCATGAGAGCTGGGGAGGACAAACAGGGGAGTGGCCGTAGCAGAGTGACTGAGCAGTTCCCAACCCTCATATGGTCATTTGGGGATTACAGCTAGTCATCAGCTGCCCTTCTGCTATGGATATTGAACGGGAGCTGTGCAGAGAATGAGGGAGCTGTTGCTTTCTCCCAACAACTTTCCCCATCTCACTGCTGTGTCCCATTTTACCTGGGCACAGCAAAAACTGACTGTATGTAAGAGTCAGTGACAGCAATTAAGTATCATATTGGGCCTATAAGTCTCATAGGGATGGTCATGTTAGTCTGTAACTTAAAAATGAGTAGACCCGTGACTAACAAAACTATATAGAATCGTGAGCTTTTGTGGGTAAAACCAACTTCCTCAGAAGAGTAATTGGGTCTGTCACAGTTCAAGTAAGATATGATATAAAAGCCAAACAGAGGGACCTGACAGAAATTGCAATTTCCTATGAACACCACTGAGTAATTTTGGGAATTGGGTTAATCAAAGATTTCTTGAACTAAATATTTAGGAAACATGACTTTTCATCAACAGAGTGCTCTGAGTTAAGTTAGCAAGAACAGTTTTTCAGTCTGAGCTTGCCAATGATTTACCAGTCAAATAAAAGCACAAGGGCAGAAACTGCTGTGCTAAATACTGAATTTCTATTGGTCCTGAAACATCTGAAAAGATCCTAGAAAGCTAAATGGGTGCCAAACAATTAATAAAAGTTTAGAAGATAGATGGAAAAGACATATTAAATCTTCTAATTCTTTTTCTCATAGATGCAGGGTTGAACAATCGTGCACTTAACATAATTTATTAAAAAATTGAAAATAGCTTGGCCAATAACAAACTTGGGCTTTGGAAAAATGATGAGTGGACAAAAATGGCTAGGATATAATAGTCTGGCCAAATCATGCAATATTCAAAATATAGTTACCAAACTATTTCTGAATATTCCTCTCTACTGCCTAGTTAAATCTAGTGTTGGAAACAGAATATTTGAAAGCACCAGTCTCCCAATACAGTATCTGGAGACAATATCTGGACCCCTCCAAAACCACTCAACAAAACTGACTACACATGCCAAAGATTCCAAGAGCAATAAGACACGATCGAAAAGATCCACAGTAGGACTTGAACAGAATAGCTTTGCATTGTTCTGAAGTGACAGACAGGTCTGGGCAGAATTCCTCCGTGAAGTAGTGTCATGATTCTATAGAAGCAAACTGGGAAAATGTTTTGGAACAGAGAGCAAAGGCAACACAGCTGAAACAGGGAAAGATGTAGGTAGGAAACAGGAAGAACCTGAGTTCACAAAATAAACCCTTGGTTACTTACCTGAGATTTCCAATCCAGTTTTGCAGTCCAAAGAGAGCTGGATAGTTAAGACAAGGGTGAGAGAAGCATTTGGGGGGGAGGGTTAATCCACATTTGTTGAGGCTCATCAGTCACTAGTCACAATCTGTCTGAAGGGATGGTAACTAATAATGTCTACAGACATTAATTTAACGATCTGAATATTCACTGGTGCTACAATGCAACTTTTATTTTTGAATGAGTGGTGACCTGTTGTTTTTAGAAGAAAAAAAGCATTTACACAGGCTTAAAAATATTTGCAAGCTCATATTAGTATAGTCACCTGTATTCAAACAAAACACACTGAAGGCAAAAAAATGCTACTAGTCTTCCTCCTCCTATGGCTATGACCATCATCATTCTATGTATAAGGTGTTATGAACTGACTTCTTGGGTATATGTGTGTCAGATACTAGGATCATTAAAAAACAACAAGATATATTTAAGGTCTTGTAATAGCTACTTCTAGTATATTCTAAGTGCCAGCCTCTTCAGGAGTATTTAGTGTGCACTAACTACCCATGTATACAGTCATTATAAAAAGGTGTACGTTGAGCTAGTATCCATTTTAGGCAATACAGTATTAAGACTCGTGAAACGTTAAATTACTGTGGTGATTGCTGCCAGTTTCATTAACATATGTTTTATTTGCTTTCAAGCCAAACCAGAAATCTCCATTGCTCTCCAAAATCGTTCCAATGGCACTGTGGGAGAGGTGAGTGATTTTAGAATTTACTGAACACTCAGGTACCCCAGTAAGTCACATCATTTGAGTTCAGTATTTCATATTTTTTTTAATCTGAGGTATTTGTGAACCAGCTTATTGGTATGGAGCAGTGTATGTAAACTTGACATAAAACACAACTATTGCCTCCAGCTGATTGTTAAAGATCCCAGAGCATTTTTGCTTGACTACACCTTCATGCACATCAAGAAGGCAGTTGTTGAGGATGATCCAAGGGGATGTTACTAGCAATTTTGGTGACAAGAAATTGGAAAATGCAGGCTGTTTATCAGGAAAATGTCTTTAAAGAAAGTTCTACTGGGGAACAGCCTCACAGGGGAACTGGTGGAAGGGCCCCAGATGTCTTGAATAATTAGTTGCTAATGGTTGATTAAAACTGATTGTTAATAAGGTAAAAGAGAGATGGGGCAAAATGCCAAAGTATGCTGTATCCTGGAGGGAACAATTCTGCATGGCCTTCGTAGTAGAGGGGAAGGGGAGGAATGGGCAAAATACAAATCCATATCCTTTGCTAGTTGGTCTCTTAGGAGAAAGGCTTACTGAAATGCTTCTAACTGATGAAATTATCAATGGATTGTTCAAATGACACTGCTGTTCTTCTCCAGCAAGTTAGCCCCCATTCCAAACCATTGAAAGCTTTTTAGAAATTAGTGCGAAGCTCAGTTTTTCCTCAGTTTTAAGCCAAACCCTAGGTCTTTGCAACAGCTAAGTGAAGTGGTGGAAAACACATCACTCCATTATTGTGTTAGCCAGGCCTGCCAATGGAGGGGAGGGCAAAGGAGGCAGTTGCTCCCAGGCCTGGCAAATCAAAGGGCCCTGAGGCTGCCAGATACTGCGCTTGTGAAAGCAGAGGTGGCCAGAACCCTGGGCCCTTTAAATCTCTGTTTGAGCACTGCCCCACATGTTCTGTGTAGTTCTGAGGGTTGGGGGAAGGGAGAGGAGGTTGCAGCCTGGAGGGCTGATTGCCTCAGCCCTGTCCCTTCTGCATGAGGCCCCACCCCTTCTGGGAGCACAGAGCCAGCTTCCCCCTTTTGTCCCCCCACTTGGCCCAGGGGCCCAAGGAGGCTATTAGATTCCTGTTGTCCCCCCACAGGGGCCCAAGGAGGCTATTAGATTCCTGGAAAAAGAGTTGATTTCCAGGCACTTGCTTGCTGGGAATAATGCTGCCTAAAGAAATTGCATAGCATTCTTGCTATGTCACTGGGCACAGATAGGCAAAAGTGACTATGGAATTTGAATCTGTATTGCGGGGAGAAAAAAGAGGCTGTAAAGCTAGAATTCTGCCTTGCACTGGCAATGTTTCCAGTTACATAACACTCCATCCGGTTTGTTTTTTAACCAGCTAGTGCAAGTTGAAATAGCCCATTAACCTTTCTAATTTCTCTTGGGCTCTGACCAGCCCTGGCAATCCCCAAGATTAAGGTGAGGGCATCAATATAGAGGTGATGCAATCCCACCTTTGCACAATCTGTTTGAAAAGTGTGTCCTGTGTCTTAAATTGCCACACTCACCACCCAATGGCAGCCTTTTGAGTTTCTATCATCTCTTGTTTCTCCATGTATCACTGCCATCTGCCAAGAGAAATGTAGCTAAGGCACATGGCTTGCAATGTCAGTAGAAGACCTCTACAGAAAAGAATCACAGATATGAATACATTAAGAATTATGGACGTTAAGAATCTTTACCCAAATCTTACAGCTCAGATCACATCTGGTATAAAATGGATCAGTAGCCCGATGGGCATGAACTCTGTTTGCATAGTTTTTGTCCAGTCAGATCTAGCATTTAGATCAGTAGACAACTGAAATAAGTTCTGTGATAGGGAAAAAAACAGTTCCTCTGTGAAGGCTGCCAGAAGATAAAACTTGCATAAACCACATGCATCCTGCTTACGGATTAGCCACGTGTCAGACACAGAACATAGAATTGTCATCATTTCTCCCATTATCTATTTTAGTGCACAATTTTCAATACCGCAGTCTCATTTGCACTCGCCTTTTTGTGTTTTAAGAGGTTTTAACTCTTCTCATCTAGATATTGAGCACCTTCCTCCTCTGTTTTAACCCCCAAAAGGAATAAAAATCCATTCTGGACAGCAGAGTGGTACTGAGGATTAAGACACTGTGCTCCCTCTAAGCTGTGTGGCTTACCCTTGATTAGCAAAGCCACACACATCAGGCTACTCTGCAGCCGCGTTGCTCCTGCCCTCTGCCCTGGAGTTCCTGGCCAGCTGCTGCAAATGCAGAGTGAAGGGAGGGGGCACATCCTCACAAAGCCCAGTGGCACTCACAAGAAGGTTCATTCAGACCTCAGCAGCTGCAAGCAGCTCCCTCCTGCTCTTGAGCCCTGCCTCCCTTCCCCACTCTGTGGAGAAGGGGTATATGGTGTGGGGGAGGGAGGGGATGGAGACACACTGACATCAGTGCCCCCCCTTCACTCTTCACAGAAAGCAGGAAATGAAATCAAGGAGACTGTGCCTGAAGAGTCCCTGAGAATCCAGACTACTACAATTTTGTTAAATAGCCATTTATTTGATAGGAATAGTACTGAGATGTCATTCTCATCTCACTCAGGTCACTATCACAAATGGATGGTAATGGATTTTCAAGCCTCCCAATCTGGCCCAGATTTCAGTGAAAGATCTATATTGAGTGTGAAATGCATATACATCCCAGTTAAAAGTCTTTTGAGCTAGATAAATCTTACCTTTGATGTAGAAACAGAATGAACTAGATAAGAAAACACATCCTCATAAAAGAGAAGTAAATGGTTCGTACTAAATTGGAATGGCTAATACGTTGGAACAATTTTGTAGTATTATTATTTGTAAGCAATATTTCAGTAACGTGAATTATGTTGGAAATGTTTGGGTTAATAATTTGATATATTCTTGCTATCCTATAGGCTAGTCTTACCTGTATTGTAAGGAAGGCATTTCCCAAGCCAAACCTCACATGGTACGCAGATGGAGAGATTCTTAACGACCAGTTGGAAGGTAATAAATGTTAATCAGAAATAATATTCTTGTAAGAAGATATAACCAGACGAAAAGGAGCTGGTGCTACACTATGCCTGTAAGGTGAAGGTTTGTGGGTGCCCATTTCAGTGCAGAGGGAACCAGCAGTGATGGAAACGACAACTTGGCACAGTTGTGTTTATCTGATTACATCTTTGAACTGAGTTAAGAAACCTTACGCTGTATGAGTTTGTTTTGCACAACTAGCATTTGGCACTGCTGTGATTCATGGAGCAGGGCAGAAAGGGAGGCCTAATGGCATTTCCATCTTATTTTCAGAAACATCTGTTGAAGCTGAAAATCTAAAAGACGGTGAAGGTTTATATGAATTGAGATCAATACTGAAGATACAAAGTACAAACCAGTCATCCACTAATCAAACATTTTGGTGTATGTGTAGTTTTCCCTTCCTGGGGAATAAAACCTGGAATATTTCATCTGAAGAAATTATAGTTTCTTCTGGTAAGTTGTCATCTTTAATTATGATATATCTGAGATCTAAAACATTAAGAACCCAGAGTGCATTGAGCTTTCTGTATCTTAAAAGTATTAATATAATAATAATAATTAACAAACCAGGCTCAGGGAAATACAAGATTGCATGCACAGTTTCCAGGTAAGACCTTCACTGTGCTAAGAATCTGTCAAGTTTAAGCTACCACAGTTTAAAAAAAAAAAAAGTTGGTTTCCACATATGTGGAGAGCTCATTCCATTTACTGTAATACCACTCCCTGCTTGTGCTAAGTATAAACTGGCTTAGCTACAAGGCACCCCAGTAAATTATTAATAAGCATTTTACAGTGTGCACTCCCGGGGAAAGGCATGCATATGCACTGTGCAGCTGTCTGGAAACTCAAGCCTTTCAGAGTGAAGGATGAAAAAGGCTCTAAAGTTAGTGAAACCACAACCAATAGGCAGTATGCATGGAGCCCTCTTAGAATTGTTAACATCATATGGGTGCTTTGCATTCTGCTATTGTGGGAGTTGCATGGAGAATTGCCCTGCATTAAGTAGTCAAAAACCTTTGTTGATGTGCGGTAATAGCAACCTACAGCATAACTACATTCCCTGGGGATGCTGTAGTGGCTATAGAGGAATCTCTTTTCCAATTCCATAGTTAAGGAAGGGGTAACAGTCTACTGACACTCAGATGCATGCCACCCACATTCATGTCTAGTGCACTGATCATATATTTGTCACTGGGAGGGGAACATGAGTGATTCCTTAGGGCCCAGTCCTGCTACGTATGTCCAGTATTAAGTTGAAAAAGTTAATAACTATGTTGTTTTGCAGTCAAATTTGATTATGAGTATGCTTCTCAGTCAGGAATGTTTACATGACAAGATTTAACTCAGACGTTGTGAATTTTTTCTGAAGGGGAAATAAGTGTGTGGAGGGAATTTCATATGTACCTAGATCAAAAATAACTGAGAAGATTTTTAAAAATAATCTCGTTTCAGCAAACCTCAAATGTTGATAACTTCAGTCCCAAACCAAAGTTACACAATCAATCAAATCAAGGATTTGCAAACTTAACTGTAGGATTTACTAAGATAATGCTCCTTTACAAAAATATTGAAATGTTTATTTTTAAGGAAAAATCATAGTGTTCTTGGGAGAGCTGCAATGCACAGAGGTGCCTTTATCTCGTGGCATACATCAGTGAATTATTTTTATGATCTTATAAACATGAGTTTAAATGTCTTATTTTTAAGAGCTGATTTCATTTGGCTATTCCCAGGCCATGTACATAACAAAGTGCCATTTCCAGCTTTTACAACCACAACTACAAAAGGTAAGATAAATTACTCTTCTTTAGTATATTTAACATCAGGTTGTTTGTTTTTCCTTCTGATGCACCGTTGTATGTACACAACGTTTCTAATGTTCTGTTTCCCTGTTGGAATAATGGGCATCCAAACTTGCCATAGCGGTTCTGGATGGACTGAATAGCATAGTTAGAATACTCCACCTTTGTGCAATTATCAGAAGTTCAGAAAATAACAAAACAAAATATTTAATTGTGGAGCTACTATTGTACCCTTTGAGTGGTGATGTATCCTAGCTAATTCTCATTAGCTAAGCAGAAGGGAGTCTAGTCATTCTTGGGATTGGAGGTCTTTAAGGAAGACTTAAGGTGCTTCTGAAAGTTTGGGTTGGCAGTTGACTAGATGGTTCTCAGTATTCAGCTGATGCCCAAGAAGAACATTAGGCAGCTACTGTGCTACTAAAAGTACCTCATTCGGATTAAATTCATTACCAAGGTCCTATGCACTGGCTATTATTAAAGTGTAGATGGTACATTTCATAGCAATATGCTAGTTAATTCCAGTATCTTTTTGCCCAAATTCTTGCTTTGTCACTGTAAATTCTGTTGATAGTTTCAGCTAGATAAATTATTCTTCACATCCCCAAATCTAAATGCCTTTAAGTAATGTTGCTGGAGCAAATATTCTAGTGTGTTCCACACCAGAGATGGCTGCATTTCAGTGGCTTGCCGAGTGATCTACATATATGTATATAGGTATTCTGTCTATGTAGATCTGTATGTATATAGAAGACTCAGTGCATATTGACCTTGGAAAAAGCCAGTGAACACTTAAAAATAGTCATGAAAAGTGCTGCTGTTTGGTCATTGGTCTAAGCCAGCTTTAAGAATGACCATACTAGGTTTGACCAATGGTCCATCTAGCCCAAAATTCTGTTTTCTTACAGTGCCCAATGCCAGTTTCATAGGGAATTAGCAGAACAGGGCAATCACCCATTGATCCATTTCTCATCATCCAGTCCCAGAATCTGACAGTCGCAGGCTTAGTGACACCAAAAGCATGGGTTTGCATCCTTGGCCATCCTGGCTAATAGCCATTAATGGACCTTATCCTCCATGAACTTATATAATTCTCTTTTGAATACAATTATAACTTTGGCCTTCACAGCATCCCCTGGCAATGAGTTCCACAGGTTGACTGTGTGTTGTGTGATGATTTTTTTCCTTCGTTTGTTTTAAACTTCCTGACTATTAATTTAATTGGGTGAGCTGTTTCTTGTGTTTGTGAAAGGGTAAATAACACTTTATCTCCACACCATTCATGACCTGTAACATATTCCCTCCCCTTAGTCATTTCTCTTCAAAGCTGAATAGTCCACTCTTTTAAATCTCTTCTCATAAGGAAGCTAAAAACAGTGCCAGGAGAAACAAGAAACTTCAATCTGCAGAGAAGCCTCCTGTCACCTAGTAATTAATGAATAGTGGTTTTTTTTCCAGATTACAGTGCATTCTGCAGCATATATCAGAATTTCAGTTTCAAGACTTTACTCCTAGTTATGCATCATTATAGCACCCTAAATTATTCATGTCCCTCCTTGGTATTCACTAGAATAATACAAAATCTGCAGAGTTCAAGTAACTGTGGGCTCACAAACCTGGAACCTGCAATGTTTGTGGATAGAAATTGTCAGCAGCACACACGCTACTTCAAGACACCTTGTTATGCAGAAGGGAAAAAAAGAATCCTCGTCATCTTTCCCTTCACAGTAATAGACTTTTTTTTAGCTGGATGGGGTCTATCCCGACAAGGTACATTGAAGACTTCAATTAGCATCCACCCAACAGTTGAAAAGATATTCAAACCTGGCCTAAGATTTGTAAAATAAGTTAATGTTATCAGGGTGTTTGAATCTGTGTAGCAACACTGCATGCAACCCTTAAGTTGACTACATTTATTTATTTGTTAGCATGTTCCCTCATCACCCTGTTCGTCATTCTTCTACTTGTGCCATTCTTTAGTTTTTCCTCATTTGTGTGTCCTCTTGATCATACTGATTTCTCTGAAAGATCCAGTATGAGTTTTTGTAAATTGTTTGTGTGCCTTTGGAACCCTTAAGGAACTTAGTAAATTACATTGCTGTACTGAAAAGGCTATTTAAAAGTACTTATGGGATTTGTTTGCTTACAGATCATGAAATTTCAACATTTCCATCAACAACCATGGCTATCACAGGTAAAATATTTCATCTGATCTTTCTGCTCTTCGGTTCTTATCTGTACTTAACTTGTTCTTAAGCATCAGATACTCAATGAGGCAAGACTGAGAATTATAGTTCCATGTGTGTTTATGATGCAGTGGTACCCACTCACGCTGAAAGGGTTTTCTTCAGTCTGGTGACTACCATATTGTCTATGATCTTAATCAAGTAAGTCAGAGAAAGCATGACACAAATCTTGGAAAAATTCTCTATTGATTTTACTTGAGATGTCAAAAAAAATGTGTTGAATACTGAATAGAATTGTTACACACATTTACTGAATTAAAAAAAATAAAATAAAATACTTTGCAAAAATTATATTCCTAATAAGGTAATTGATATGGTGGTGATAGAGAAGAAAGTGACCCATTGATAAACTTATTCCTTCACTCAAACATCGTAAGAGAATGTCTTAACTATTAATGAGCTATGTGTTTCATATTCAATGCATTAGTGAATACACCAGACATTCACAAATATGAACTTCCTACCTTCACTGTCAGGTTTCTTAATTTCAATTTCCTTTTGGTCCAGTTCCGCATCCCTTCATTCAAATGGTACAACATGACTTGTGGAAGGTAAAATTAATTTCATGTGTGGTTACAGGCAGTCCCCGGGTTACCTACAAGATAGGGACTGTAGGTTTGTTCTTAAGTTGAATTTGTACTTAAGTCGGAACTGCCCAGGGCTTCCTGGAATCAGCATCTGATCAGTTTCAACAGCAGCTGAATCTGGACGCCTGGGACAGAGCAGCTGGGGTGCTGCCGGGTAGGTCCCCGCAGTGCCACACCTCGGCGCTACTGGACCAACCTGGCAGCACCCCAGCTGCTGTACCCCAGGTGTCCCCAAGTCAGCTGCTGCTGAAACTGATCAGC